TCGAAAACACGTTCCTTTAATTTTGTCCATGAGTGTAGTAAATAAGAGTCCAAATTGAGAAAGATTGCAAAACGTCCAGCTCTTCTCCGGCCCGACCCTGGGTAACCAAATGTTACTGCGTGTGTGTGTGTGTGTGCTAAACGATTTTACCATGTGAACGGAGTGGGTCAATAAAAATTACACATGCATACATTAACTGAAAATATAATTGGACCTCATACAGATCGGAACTCTAACAAGAACAAGTCGGCTCTCCTCAATTACCTACCAATTCTGAACATGTTAAAATATAGCTCTCAAAGAAGAGTTAACAAATACAGTACAAGTTATGAGAGGTGCTGGAGGTCACAGAACCGAATAAAACAATGACAAATTGAACAGAAACTTTACGCAATGAACTGTTGCCGAACAGACGGCCATCGGATGCCCGGAATGCCGGCGTCTCAGCCAGCAGTCTGGCGGCAGTCTGCAGGGCCGCCAGCCTCCCTGCAGTGTGCCGCTAGCGCGACCTGCCTCGTGTAGAAGTCTGAGCCGCACCACAAGCAATGACGACACCTGGCAAGGGAATTGAACTGCACGTGGAAGTGGAGGCGGGGATTCCGCCGCAAGAGGTCCGTAACGGCTGAGTCGTGCAGCAAGGCGTCGAGGCAGACCTTTCTTGGAGGGCGTAGTATCAACTCAGTAAGGCTGGGGGCCGTCATTGGACTCAGCGCCCGCAAGAAATGCTTCAAGTCCCCATTCTCTGGTCTACAACAGACGCTTATGGTGAGGCTTTGCAGAGCTGGGAACTGGGGTAGGGCGGCCGCCATGTGGCCGAAGACGTCGTTTGATTCAGAGTACACGCGGAGGGTTTCAAGGTCACGGGCAGCAGGTGATGCGGCCAAGGCAAGCAGCAGCTCAGCGTTTGAGGGGTCTGTGTAAGAAATGACCACAGAGCGGAGCTGCGACGACGCTCCGCGAAGCAGCTTCGGTACCTCAGGACTAACGGAATAGACCCAGCCGACATCACCGAGATCAAGAGAGACGAGGTTCGGCAAGACCTTCAGATCGGACACGGGAAAATCACGCGTGTTGAGGTGCACGTGCTCTAAGGTGGCCGCATGCGCCTTCATTAAAGCTTCATGTAGCGTGTCGTCGTCGTCACTAAAAGATAAGTAGGAGAGCTCCTGAAGGAATGAGCCGCCCTCCAAGTCACCCAAAGAAGCTAGCAGCGGGACCTCTGATATATTCTCAATTGTTAAACTTCGTAGACTGTTTGCATTACAAACCGCCCCTAAGAGTGTAGAGATATTCCACTCTGTTTGCATTGGCTCTGATGTAAAATCATCATCAAACTGCAGGGTAAGCTCACGCAGAGCACCAAGGGCGGATTGCTTCCGCAGCATAGCTGTGGTCCGGGCCACGAATTTGTGGCCGGTTAGCTCCACCACAAGCTTGGCGACAGCACATGCAGACAAATCCGGCTCCTCGACATCCATGTTCATGCCGATCAGGTCCAATTCGCAGAGGCAAGGTGCGAAACGGAGGGCGGCGCGCACCAGCTGGCAGTCCTCCGATGCCTTCAGTCGGACGCTACGCCACAGGTCCGGGTGCTGGCATAGATCCCGAAGGCGGCGGCACGCCAGGCGGCAGCTCAAGAGGTGCCTCGCGGGCAGGCACGCCAGCACGGCCAGCAGTGCATCGTCCGGTAGGGCCAGCAGCAGCTGCAGGCAACAGAGAGCGCATTATCGTCTACAATCTGCATTGCGAACACCAACGCAATGTGCACGCGTCCACTAATTTTCATTTAAAAAGCAATAACATTTTTATTGCATTAGTAGCGCCATGAAAAAGTTATTGCATTATAAGTGCAATAAATATTGTATTGCATATCACTTTATTACCGTAGTTGTAATTTTATCGCACCAAAACTGTGATAATCTGGGCCCAGACCAGCCAAAAAGAAAGAGGCTTATTGCATTTATAAAGCGATATTTTTTTATTGCTGCTACAGATGCGATAATTAGGAATCACATTAGCCTTTAGTATGAAACTTATCACATTAGAAATATTAGTGTCAGGTGTAAAAAGCGCAACGTCAACAAGGTCCTAAAAATATAGGTTCCGAGGAGGTGCAATGAAAAAATATCGAGCCGTATGAGAATGCAGATGTCTGCACTAAGAATCCAAACTTCAAATAATTGTGGGTAGGATCAGGGGAAAGTGCCGTACACTGTCCTTCGAAGCGTTGTACAGACTGCAGATAATGTGTGGTGGTAGGCACAACTGTTCACCCTTATTTACCACACGTAGAAATGCGGTCAATACCCGGTGGTCAGCAAAGTTCCACATAAAATTCACTGTGAATACTACAGCAAATATGTGGTCAGTCATAAAAGGGTGGTCTTGACCACGCAATACATGAGGTGACGGCTAAATTTTAAGCTTGTACCACTTATTTGAAGGTGTGTAATTCTTACCTCATTTATACGTGAGGTAGAATGCGGTAACCACACTTTAGGTCTCGTGTGGTAACTTCACCACACTTTCGATTTCAGTGTAGGATCGCTGTCCTAAATTCGTTTCGCTGGCGGCTATGGTTTTTTAATGGACGAGGAGACGACTTACCGATTGGTCCATTGTTGTGGCGGCGCTGCAGCGAATTCCACAGGGAAGCTTCACCGGATCACGTTGAGAACGAGGACGTCCCAGCAGCAGCAACGACGCAGAAGAGGGACGTAACCTAAATGAAAATAGGGCCTCAGTATTAAACCACGTTACGCCAGGTTCACCAAGACTCCAGTGCCGGAAGTAAGAAAAACCGCAACAGTGATCGCACGATAGATCGGACGCGGTCAAAATCCCGGACAGGTTCTGAGTTCCAGCGTTGCAAAATCGAGGGGTCCTATTCAAGGGCGGTGCTCGAACTGAGGCGATACCTGCTGGAAGCCATGGAAAACCAGGACGCACCTCCATCCAAGATAGTTTGCCGCGAATTGCGTCACCAAAATGAGAACTATGACCTTTTGACAGTCAAGGACACGCACCGAGTAAGTATCTTTCGCACGCAAATTATATTGTTTTGATGACAATATTGAAGCTGATGCTAAATGTCTTGTCCTGTGCGCAGGCCGCCCAGTGTATCGGGTACGCGCGCCGCCAACAGCACGGTGTGCTAGGAACGTCCGCTGCACACACCTTGGCCATTTCGAAGGAGATACAGGAATCCACCGTCACATGCAGGAATGAAAGATTCGTTTATGTGAAGAATGATCTCGCTCTTTTTACCAGCAAACAAAATCTTACGTGAGTTTATATTAAACTTGTATACTATAATTGTACACGGTACACTATAATAATTATTTTTTTGAGGCTTCTATCAGAATGTGAACTGTTTCTCATCGACGGGACGTTCAACTTTGCACCCAAACATTTTGTGCAACTATACTCAGTACATGGGCTGAAAGGCGGCCACTACGTTCCACTTGCTTTTGTTCCCTTGGAGAATAAAGCTGCAACAATGTGAGTTAAATTCTTATTGAATGAGGATTCCAAATGGCGTGAAGTAACTGATTCAAACGTTTCGTTTTTTACAGGTATAAGAAAATGTGGGCCACTCTTTCTGATCTTGCCATGGAGGAGGCCCAAGTCTCGCTCCAACCGAAGACAGTGTTGGTCGACTTCGAGGACGGAGCTCATTCAGCTGTGCAACACACTTTCTCGGGATGTAATGTTCAGGGGTGCCGTTTTCATCTGCATCAAAACTTTACTAAACACATTAGATCAAACGTCATCACAAGGGAGGCGTTTGCTGACACTGCATCAGAGAATGGTACGTGTGTGTGAGAGAGAGAGACAGACAGACAGAGAGAGTGAGAGTGTGTGTGTGTGGTCTTGACTCCTTTTTTCTTCTTTCAGGAAAGTGGTTACATGGTTTCTTTGGTCTATCGTTACTGCCCCCGTCGCTAGTCTTCGAGGGGTTCCTCACTTTGATGGAGCATGCTCCTACTGACCCAGGCTTCGAAGTTTTCTCTGATTATGTGGTTGAAAACTACGTCGATGAGGGTGCGAGGTACCCACCAGAGTTGTGGGCGAAAGCCCCAGCCTTTGACGACCCCAGGACAACAAACGCTGTGGAGGGCTTCCACCGGGGATACAATGACAAGTTTCATGGCGCTCATCCAAACATTCACGTTGCAATTGACATCCTCCTTGACTACCAAGCTTCAACATACGTCAAGATGAATTCCATCCGTGACAACATTCCTGGACGGGTCAGGAAGGACGTCCAGGGAAGAATAGGAAAGGCAGTTGAAGCCTGGCAACAATTCTCGGTGGGGCAGAGGACCATGTTTTCGTATCTAAAGTACATGTGATTCCTGGTGAAGAAAAATGACTGATTTTGATAATTTGATAATTTTGACTCTGTACCAATGTACTAAAGTTCCTGTACAAGGATCAATTTTGTGATATTGAACTGCTGCACTGTGATAAAGTCTGTGGAATAAATCCTGACATATTAAAGCCATATTATCATTCCGTGAATCCTTTCCACAATTATCGACAATACCGACACACAACCAACATGCAAGCTACTGAGTTTCAAAAGTTCCGAAGCGCCCTCCGGGTAGGCATCCCTCTTGACTCGCGCCTCAGTTCGGCTGCCGGGGCATGCGCGCCTTCTCCCCTCCTTTGTCCGCCCTGCGCCTCAGTTCGTCTGCTCCCCCGACAATTTATCGACCGGCCCCTGCCTCGCAGGTATAAGAAAAGCAGGTAGCGCCTCAGTTCGAGTCCCCCGCTCGAAATGGGGCAGGAACCCAACGAGTGACCCCACCAATTGATATCTCACCGGACGAGGAATCTATTGATGGGATCGCACGTTCGGTTCCAGACCTGTTTGACGACTCTACTCTGGAGCTCAAAGCGCGTCTTGAGTTTAGGCCGCCTGCGCCGGTTTTCTGGCCCAATGGAGTGACCGCATTTTCCCGGACTGACCAATTGTTATCAGTTGACCCGAAGATGAAACACGCTCCACGCGATGTAGTGGTTCCGGATGAAATTAAGGGAGGCGGACTCAGTATTCAACAACCATGCGTGACATTCTTCATACATCACGAACAACTCTCAGCGTACCGGAGAATCAGTTCCGGGAATTCCGGAGGAATGATGATGAGGAACCCCCGAAACGACAAATAAAATGTGGACACATCTGGATTCTCGCTCAAGAGATACAATCGCCTTACCCCAATCTGCCTGGATTCCGAAACACAAGAGAAGCAACACGTCAGCGATTCACCCCCTCGCCTTCTGGCGATCAACACTGGCACGAGAGAGCCCAGTAAAATTTACAGGCGACACCGGAAACTCATGTACGTTCAAAATTTGAAACCGTCAAGACATCCTTTACGAAAGATGTTTTGGGAACTCTTTCCCGTGCTCACAATTTCTGTAGTTTATCATTCATCCCCCTGTTGGATGCTAGTAGACTACCATCCCAGCAGGGTGTTTCCAACAAACTCGGAAGTCGGAAACGGCACTGTATATTGAGAGCTACGTACTTGGCAGAACTCTGACACGTATTGCTCTAAATAGAAGCAATTCCTCACTTCCGATTATGTTCTTTTCACTTCCAGTCTAGAACAGGCTTCGCTTCTGCTCAGCCAATGAGAAAAATGTCAGTTACGTGCTGAGAGTGAATTGTTCAAATTTGACGAAAAGCCACCCCTAAGTTTAAGGCCCCTCTGGAGGGTGAACGAGTTGATCCACGACGCTGGGGGCTGCAGAATCTGAAGCGCCAACGCTTTATTGCCAGACCCTAAGAAAATCGCAACCGCGCCTTCGCCGCCATATCGGTGTGGAATTACATACCCAGCGAGTGGAACTGCCTGACCACGCACGCTGCTGCGGCTCCCGGAGGTAGGCACTGTGGCAAAAAGGTACGGAAAATTCTGTTAATTTTTTGCCAGGATTCTCCGTAGCCCTCTTATCAATATTTTCCATAGGCTCCTACAGTATTCTCCGTAGGGCCGTAAAGTATTCTCCATAGGGCCGTACAGTCTTCTCCGTAGGACCTGGAAGACTGTATCGTCCTACGGAGATCACTGTAAGGTCCTACGGAGAATACTGTAAGAGCCAACGGAGAATACTGTAAGAGCCTACGGAGAACATTGACAAGGGGGCTACGGAGAATCACCACAAGCTGTTTACAGAATTTTCTGTAGCTTTCTGCCACAGTGCAGCCCATCGTACGCCGTGTGCCCCCCTCGCCGCTTCCCCCTCCGATTTCAGCGTTTCGTGAGAGGTGGCGTGCCTCCTGACGGATCGTTGCGATTGCTTTCTCGCAAAACGCCGAAACCGGAGGCGATAGCGGCGAGGGGGACACTCGGCGTACGATGGCCTGCCTACCTCCGGGAGCTGCAGCGCGCGTGGCCGGGCGATTCCGTTCGCTAGGTATGCATTAGCGTCTGGCAATGGAGCGTTGGCACTTCGGATTCTGCAGCCCGTTGTGTCTCAACTCGTTCACCCTCCAGAGGGGCTGCAGCCATGACTTTTCATCGACTTTGAACACTTTGTCCGGTTAACTGTGCCTTCTCGCAAAAACTGCAGCCAAGCAGGTTGCGGCCGATGCCTCTGTCCGTGCTGTACGCAGGGAAAGCGGCACATTTCAACCCTTAAGCACGGGGGTTGCGCACCCCTAACTTTGAACCACCCCTCACTGCAAGAATAACACCACAACAGAAAAACACAAATTTCTGGCAAATTTATCAGGTTTTTATTGTACTTTCAAAGTACAACAATAGTTGTACGAAGTACAATGGAACCGGCATGACGAGTGCTGTGCTGTCCAGGCCTCGTTGTGGTTTGTACAATAGGGTACTTTCGTAGAACCCTGAACCGGAAGCAAGCAGACCAGCAGACGCCAAATTGGCCGGAAACTAACCTCTCTTCGGATCCAAAACTATAGCCGAGCTGTACAAATATTGCTCGCGAAACACATATGCACTGCAAACAAGTATCAGACGACTGTGTATGTTCAAGTGTGGCCGATACCTTTGACAAACGTCTCTTTCCCATGTCAAGTTTGGATCTACTTCCGCCAACATGGCGTCTGTGTGCTTCCGGTTCAGGGATCTACGAAAGTACCCTATTCTCGTTGTACTTTGTACAATCCCTGCTGTACTTTTATTGTAAGGTTTTTGTTGTTCATTTGTTGTACTATTCACACTTTTTCTTGTAGTGCTGTTTACGCCAGGGGGTAGCTTACGAAACGTGGTGTTTTCGGTGATCCTGGCCACCCCAGGAAGTAACTTTGGAGAATTTCATCGTCGTCCCATGATCGGTAGTGCTTCTTGTCAGAAGGGGTTGAAAACAATGTGTCGCGCCCCCCCTCGGGGTGCCTATGGGACTCTTTGAACTGGAGTTGACTTTGCCCGCATCAGGGGAGTCCTGAGAAGGACGTGAGCGCAATTTCAGACACTGCTAATCCAAGTGTGGACCAGGTCCACGCTTCAAGGCGTGGACCATTTGGTCCACGCTTTGAAACGTGGACCTGGTCCACACTTGGATTAGCAGTGGAGCCTTTGATCGAAAACTCTGCATTTTCGAGCACTGTGGCAAAAAACTACGGAAAATTCTGTAAACAGCTTGTGGTTGTTCTCCGTAGCCTTCTGGTCAGTATTCTCTGTAGGCTCTTACAGTATTTTCCGAAGGACCGCACAGTCTTCTCCGTAGGACCTTACCGTGATCTCCGTAGGACTATACTGTCTTCCAGGTCCTACGGAGAAGACTGTGCGGTCCTACGGAGAATACAGTAAGAGCCTACGGAGAATATTGATAAGAGGGCTACGGAGAATCCTGGCAAAAAAATTAACAGAATTTTCCGTACCTTTTTGCCACAGTGAGGGGGTGCCCATAGTAGGGGGTGGGTACGTCGGAGAGGGCTGGTGGGCAGTGTGTTTCGTAGAGGGTGTCAAAAAGAAGCGCCTTGAGTGATTTTTTTAATGTTGTGGACCCTTCAAAAGTTGCGTTTTTCGGCACCACCCCATTAACGGGACCCCTTAACATCAACCCTCGCGAATGCAACTTTACACGCGCTGAGAGGACCCTTCAAAGCTGCCCGACGCGAAGTGTCGTTTAGATCGACCATAGAAACGTTCCTTCAATTTTGTCCACAGTGTAAACTAGGGGTACGCGCCGTTTTGTTTGGGCGCGTAGTAGGCGAGCGATGCGTCTGTATTCTTGTAGAAGATGGTGAAGAATATATGCAAAGTAAGGCCAATACAGGGTCAATGTGAAACTCAATTTTAAAAGTTTGGTCACAAATTGGTAAATTTTGGGGAAAGTAAAGGTCTGGGATGAAATTGGAAGTCATTTTCGTGATCAGCACACCAAAAACTGCAGGAAACTATGTAAAACTCGATGTAAAAATTTTGGTCCGAAATTGGTAAATATTTGGAAAAGTAAAGGTCTGAGATGAAATTGGAATTCGTTTTCGTGATCAGCGCACCAAAAACTGCAGGAAACTATGTAAAGCTCGATGTAAAAATTTTGGTCCGAAATTGGTAAATATTTGGAAAAGTAAAGGTCTGAGATGAAATTGGAAGTCATTTTCGTGATCAGCACACCAAAAACTGCAGGAGACTATGTAAAACTCGATGTAAAAATTTTGGTCCGAAATTGGTAAATATTTGGAAAAGTAAAGGTCTGAGATGAAATTGGAAGTCATTTTCGTGATCAGCACACCAAAAACTGCAGGAAACTATGTAAAACTCGATGAAAAAATTTTTGGTCCGAAATTGGTAAATATTTGGAAAAGTAAAGGTCTGAGATGAAATTGGAAGTCATTTTCGTGATCAGCACACCAAAAACTGCAGGAAACTATGTAAAGCTCGATGTAAAAATTTTGGTCCGAAATTGGAAAATATTTGGAAAAGTAAAGGTCTGAGATGATATTGGAAGTCATTTTCGTGATCAGCACACCAAAAACTGCAGGAAACTATGTAAAACTCGATGTAAAAATTTTGGTCCAAAATTGGTAAATATTTGGAAAAGTAAAGGTCTGGGATGACATTGGAAGTCATTTTTGTGATCAGCACACCAAATACTGCAGAAAGCAATGAAACACCGAGGAAATTTTGGTCGCAAATCATGTAATCCTAGTTGAAAGTATGGGTCTTCAGTTGTTAGGTTTCTTAAGAGCGTTTCCTGTTCATAGTGTCATGCCACGAACCCTGACCCTGTTACTCAGTCGAGTAACATTTAACAGCCAGCATTGAATTGCTTAATACGATTCACAAATACTTCAATTACCATTCGATATCTCCTTGTTACTGAACTTATGAATACGCAATGTTATTAGTAATACCTAAATAGCCTTTCTCCCTTTTAGTTTAAACTAGTGGATTTAACTATATTGATTTATCTGCATTAATTAAAAAGAGACATATTTACAGGCAGGCTGATTTCAACTACTTTACGGAGAAGACCTTCTGTCAGATCCAATGAATCGTGTCATAGAATCCAATGTCGAGGCCACTTATTGCTAAATGCAAGTTTATCTTATTGATAATGATAGTCATGGTGTGTTATTTAATCTTTGAAACAGTTTAGCAAAAGTATTTACCTAACATTCTGAGTAAATTAAAAAAAAAAAAAAGCAAACTCAAACCATGACCAACACAAATTACCAGTTGTCGCAGACAATGTATGATTAAGTTAAAAGAATCGTCTCATGAAATCATATGACCAAGTCAGTGAACCGTCTCATTGAATCTGATGTCAATGTCAAACCTTGAATGCGCTACACTCACTCATCATATGGTTTTCTTTAAGGTTAGTACTATAGTAAACTCACAGCATTGCAATGAAGCCTTTTCCCAGAATCAGTGCCAAGAGTCAGCAAAGACTATTTATTTTGGCAAGATTAGCATCTGGTTTGTACTCATAGAATGTATTAATATATTTTCTAACTGTTATTGAGCAAAGCAAACAACTGAAAAATATAGTGTCTGAGAATATAAATGGAAATACACTCACAAAGGTTAAAAAGACCAAATCATTCTGGCAATTATCAAACACACTCCACTGACTAAAACATTTCCCCTGTAGTGGGGGAGGGGAGAGGGTGGCCGGACGGACGAAACGCGTAATAATTGTCACTTTCATTTTCCGTATTTCACTGAGTTGACTCTCCGGAGGGGTTTCAATCATTCTAAAATATCGAAAAACTATGACCGTACTCACTTCTAAGCCCTTCTGCTCTTTAGTTTGTTTTATTTGCCAATGTTTTGACAGGTCCCGTATTTAAGAGTCGCGGCCGCTAGTATGAAAAATTGCTACGAGCTGCCAAGCACTGCCAACCTAACCACGCTAAGAACCTAATTCAAAAAGATGTTTTGAATATTTCAAACAATAGTAATCGTGAATATAAGATAAACTCCCCCTGGGGGAGATTTAGGAG